GGTAACTTCTGTGAGTAATTCAGCGACAACCATCCATGGGTTCGATCGTCGCAGGCTTCGACCGCAATGCACCGTTTGTTATCTTCCGGTATTATGTGTTTTGTGGACCTAATTGGATTCGCCGTGAATTGGGACTCTTTGATGAAAGTTTTGCCGTGAGACTTTAAAAACAAAGCCCATCTCTCTCGGTCCCTACTCTACTGTCAGACATAAACAGTTACAGATATTTAAACACCTTCGAAATTATTGGACTGAACTGTAATAAATCATTTGGAATGAAGATTTAAAGGGTCAGTCCGGAGTTAATAGGAATATACGAGCAGAAATCCAAGTTGGTACATTAATTTCTGAGGAGATATAGGAAATAAACTATTAACCAGGAAGCCCATGGAATCACTGGGGAACCCGCTGATGAGCCGAACGTCTGGCAGCTGCGTTATACAACAGCAAGATATTGGTGAAACATGTCAGAGTTTTTAGCTACCTCCTGTGATGGTAGTATGTTAAATCAGACAACGTATTTAATCAATTTTCTCTATTAAAGTAAACCTTACTATGTAATTCATGGCTTCATGAAGTTCTGCAAAATAAATCTACATAGAGTGTGTAGATTTTTAAGTAGAAGATAGGTTGTGAACATGGTGAAACTACTTACTGTGCATGACATACTACTGCTAGATTACCAGGCATGAACTCTGTGCAGTTAGTCCGCTGATGTTCACAGTATTCAGCTTGTAAACTGACATGAGACTGAGAGTGGATCTTATATCTTTAGTTCCTGTAAGTTGATTGGAAGTCGGGCCGATTTCGAGTGAGAATAAGTATCAATCCAATAACGATTCCAAAGAGATGATTTAGTCTTCGCGATGTAATTTCGGCTTAATTTTATGACAGAAACGGACATAAAAATACTAATGCTACAACCCCCTCCTACATTCGGAAGATGATTTATTTCCTCTGCGAAGAAACAGTATATTCTAGAAGACTGACTGAGCGGGAGAGGCCGGAGTCAATAGCTTTGCGAACAGAATGCATTTCACCTTGACTGAGTGGAAGGGATGTAATGCGATTACTTCTAAATGCCGGCAGTCTGCGGGATGGGCAAGCGCGTGATTTTTGCCGTCAATACGGATATTAGTCTGCACTTTGAAATGCCACAGAAGTAATATAGCAACAAGAACATCACATAGAAGTCAAATCATCTCGATCCTATGCGAATATGAGTATCTGGCAGGCGAAACGACCACTAAATGTAATCCGTGCGCAGGAGTTTGAAGCAGTTAGTTCATTTTGGATATCAAATACTTGCAAGGCAGAAAACTGATTGATAACAATGAGCTCCCGTCTGCTGACGTTATTGCTGATCACTTTAAAAGAGCCTAGCATATCTAGGCGGGAGCCTAAAACGCGGCCCCACTTGACCATTTTTGGCATTATTTCTGAGATTTTTCTGGCAAGCATATTGGTGTCCGTGAAAAATCGAGTTGCAGTAAAACCCAGCACGACGGTGGGGTTGAAGCAATGAGCGTAGGCCTAGAGTATGCGTTGAGTGAGGGGTCGGGGTTGACAGTTTGGTTTCGGCTATAAGGGTGAGTTTCGTAGCTAGCGAGTTCGGGTTTGGCCTAATGGTTCAATAACCGTTGGCTAGGTATCCAATAATTCCTTACTTAAAGAAATAACTAGGTAATTATTTATCAATTGAATTTATCATTAATTAATAACAATAACTCTCACCTATTCACATAAGGTTCGAAAAACTGATCGCTTAGTGGTCGCCAATGGTTTGTCTGGCGTTTTTCAACAAAATTGCAACGACACATGGTATTTCAACTTGCGCGCTGCCTCGTAAACCACACTAGCGTACTTAAACATCATCCTTAATATTTACGACTCTTTTTTTACCTCTACACTTTTCTACTAGTCACCATTTTTTTCCATTCCGAAATCCCCGCATTTACCATCCATCCCGTGCTACATTAACCCCTGGTTTGCGTTCTGTCAGTAGAGCCGCGTCTTAGGTTCCCGTTCCTTTCTATTCCGGAAAGGCTTGCTGACTCAAAGCCATGTAGAAGTGGTGACGGATTTTTAGCGGTCCATTTGGTTGTGAACGGTTGGCGTCTGTGGTTTGGGTAGGACCAACCGATGACTGTAACCTGGGACGCACTGCTGGCCTGGGGTAGCTTTTATAGTCTCAGAGCTTTCAGGCGTCTCCCGCTGTTCGGTGGTAAAATGAAGCTCTCAACTAGACAGTGAACGCGCAAAAACAATTATGCTGCATTCTGATCGACGGTTTACTGGGTTAATTATTATTAACTAATACTTAGGACAGCTGCAGGATCTTACACTTTGTCCTTTCATCGAGAAATTGGGTCTAGACTTTTAATCCTCAATTGCATAAAAAAGAACGTTTGCATCTAAGGTCTGAAGTCTATCGATTGTCATGAGCATATTCCAATACTTCTCACTGGCTTTCACGGTTCATCAGGTAAGACCGCAGTGAAGAATTTGCGAGGCCTAACAGGAAGGATATCTCCTAACGAATGACAAGCTATTCGATAGAGTGGACGCATTGGTCTGCGACTTCATTCACGAAATGCATAGGGTAGGATGAAGGCTATTAATAGAGTTTGTTTGCCCCCTAAGTGGATCGCGCGATAGATGCGCTGGACCAAGAAGTGGGCTAGATTGGGGCCTGGCAGGCGCTATTCGGATTGCACTCCCATAACAAGTGCCGCACATGGGGCGAGACGTGATGGCACCCGTATGTGCAGGCTTGCGCCACGCCAGCCACCTGCGCCTGTTCCCTACTAATCCTGATGCACGTCACCGTCCCTGGCCCACCTCGCTGCGGGGCACACGCTGGACATCGTTGGACGTGGTGGTTGAATTGTAAGTGTAGTTTACTGCTGCTATTTCCGCTATTGTCTCTGATTATGGATCCTTGACGGATTTCAAAACGTTCCGGCGATCAGATCTACGCTTCCTCAGTTTTGAAATATTTACTGTCCTTACGACACGTAAATTCATCATAGGCCAAGGATCACTTTGTGGATCCAGCAGATTAATTTACAGTATAGACGAT